CTGCAGTCAGTCAGTAGTAGAGCTGCAGTCAGTCAGTCAGTCAGTCAGTCACTGCCCTCCAGCGGTCACTTTAGAAATTACATGCTCTTACCGGGGCACCTACGTCATCAAACTGCGACTTATGAAACAAGCGCCACATTTTTGCTGCGGCAAAATATTTTCAGCGCTACAAGCTTAAAGCCACAGTGGAACATATTTGGGGTATGTAACGTTATAATCATGTACTTATAATGCGGCACTGCAGACGGTACAGTGTTTAAACGTTGTGTTTGAAACAGGGACCTTTTTAATCCGGTAGCTAACATGATGGTCTCATAAACCCGCTAACATTAGCCAGCGTTGAGTTATCTAACGTTAGTTACATTTATTCCTCACCAACACAACGGATAACAAAATAATACATGTAACTTTTACATTTTACAATAGCACACACACACTAACGAGCTGTATAACGTTGGTGTTTGGGAGCTAGCAGCGCTGATGATCGTACAGGTAGCTAGTTAGCATTAACATTAGCTGTCCAGCTCCGTCTTGTCAAGTGTCAGCTGGTCGACATTATTATTCGAGTTATCCTTTCACAAAGTCTGACCTTTGGCATTGGGCTATGATACAGTTGTGGTAGCTGCAGTCGTTTTACTGAAACGCTGTTAACATTAAATAATTGGACCCAGCTACAGTAGCTACTACAGTTCACTGTTTGTTTGCATCGACTAACTTAATGTTACCTGTGACAACATGTCTGTGTCCTCTCCCACAGGCGTACATCAGGACAACCCTTGATGCACTATGAGCTTATTTGGGGCAAACACCGGGTTTGGAACCGGAGGGACCGGTGTCTTCGGAAACACAACAACAGACAGCCACAACCCCATGAAGGTAAACCAGCGCACAGGGAGAGAGCATGTGACATTACACATGGATGTGTCTCTAAAAAGCTCTCCTGTTGTTCAAACGTGGCTGTGTAACATGTATTAAACTATAGGGATCCTTTTTATTCTCATCCAGCTCATTTGTTTGTGTGAGAGTCAGTTTGAGGACTGATTTCTTAATGATCAGTCCTCTACATGTGAGTGTTGGTCATGGTTTCAACTGTCTGATCCACATTCATACAGTTGTCTGTGGCTGAATGATGGTCATCTGTTTGCAGTACATGAGTTAGGTGTGTTGGAGACCCTCCCTGCGTGGGCACGGGTTGCAGCTTCATGGACATTAGTGTCATTTTATGAATGTTCATGCATTGTTAGGGTTGTAATTTTGTTTACGTTGTGCTTCACAATGTTCCCCCACTTCCATCAGGTTTACATATTACCAGTCAGTGTGGTCAGGCTATGAGTGATGTTGGGGCATGATTGGTGGGGGTTCTCGATGGATGTGCAAGAGACCTTTCAAGTGATAATCATAAGCACCCTATAAAAATGAAACCTCACTAAAATCTCTTTAAAATCAGCTTTAGTTACATCAACAGTTACAACAATTTAATTAAACAGTAATAAATGAATTGCTGTATGTCTTTCAACTGTGTTTTAATGTTTTAAATGAGTTTTTATCTCAGTATCTCAAACTACATTTGGTTTAGTTCTTGATTTATTTTATTTTGTTTGATAATGTCTAAGTATAGATAACTTTTCATTGTGTACATTTAATAAGATTCTAGTGATTTTACAATAACCTGCATGTTCTTCTAAAATCAAAATCATATAAACAATTATTATATATCTAATATCAAACTAAATCAAAGTGCACCATTTGTATTTAATGTCTTGGTCTTTTAATGACTTGTCCTACAGGATGTTGAAGTAACTTCTCCTCCAGATGACAGCATCAGCTGTCTGGCTTTCAGTCCCCCCACCATGCCAGGAAATTTCCTGATCGGAGGATCCTGGGCCAACGATGTATGTTATTTACTCAGTCATAACAATGGTGTTAATAATGGTGTACACTTGTAAATAGATTTACCAAAGGTTATTCTCTCACCAGGACTACTTCTGCACTACATAATGTTTGTAGTGTGCTCACAAGTAAACGTAGTTTAACTGTGTTGTATCTTCTGACCTCAGGTCCGGTGCTGGGAGGTGCAGGACAATGGACAGACTGTCCCCAAAGCCCAGCAGATGCACACAGGTCCAGTGCTGGATGCATGTTGGAGCGATGTAGGTCTCATCATACAAAGTCATTTAAGAGCTGTATTAGATTGCTGTTTGCTGGGCCACAGATTAATTTATGATGTGCTGTTCTCTTTAACCAGGATGGGAGTAAAGTCTTCACTGCTTCCTGTGACAAAACAGCCAAGATGTGGGATCTTAACAGTAATCAAGCGATACAGATTGCCCAGGTTCGATGAGAGATCCTAGATCAACTATGTGGTCATAAGAATGAAGCAGAATTATCTCACCTCACCATATCTCTTCACAGCATGACGGTCCAATCAAAGCAATCCACTGGATAAAAGCCCCAAACTACAGCTGTATCATGACTGGCAGTTGGGACAAAACACTGAAGGTACAACAGCCATTTCAACACATCTGTTCAGAAGAAACGTTTGCATTTAGGGTCTCAAGAAAATCTGGGGGGAAAAAACAGAAAATAAGATCCAGAAACTCCAGTAATATTGATAGATCCATGAGTATGGAGGCTTTTCAGATGCACAGTGGTTTATAATACTCTGAGACAGGAATGTGCACTCCAACATATTTGATCGGCCAATGCAGCGCCTAACTGAATGAAACTGGCAACAGTTAAACTTTTTTGCCTGATCACCAAGTTTTGTTTGGTTTTTTTTTTCCTGAATCTGTCTGTTGGTATACCTACAGAGTGGTCTCATTTAAATGAATCAGGGTGCTGCATTTTTTTCACACAGTGCTGTTTGTCTGAACGTGGCCAAAGGCCAATGTTGGACATCGTACTTCATCATACTTAAACAGCTTTCTGGTAAACAAAATTTCTATTATTTCTGGACTATTGGCACCTTATCAATCAGTGATTTTGACCTTTTGACACAAAATATTGATTTATTATTGAGTAGCTGGTCAATTTGAACATTTATCTGTTAGTGGCTGGTAGATGTTCACATTTTAAAAAGTTAATGTCCCACCCTGATTTAGACTCATAAATGCAACCATAATGATCACTCATCAGAGAGGCATATCAGACACTGTGGCGTCTAACGCTCTCTTCTGTTTTTCTCTTCAGTTCTGGGACACGCGCTCTCCCAACCCCATGATGTCTCTGCAGATGCCAGAGAGATGCTACTGTGCAGATGTTGTAAGTAGTTTATGAGGAGTATAACACACATATCAATGGTGGTTGAGTAGATAATAGTTTGTGTAGATTTTGTTATTGTGTTAACCTCCTTGACTGTTACATGTAGGTATACCCCATGGCGGTCGTTGCCACAGCTGAGAGAGGCCTGATAGTGTACCAGCTGGAGAACCAGCCCTCTGAGTTTCGTAGAATAGACTCTCCTCTCAAACATCAGGTGAATTTTCTCTTTGTCTTTTCCCACCATTATTCTTTCTTTGTACAGTAATCATGTACAGCCAGATTAATTTTCTTTTTCTTTGCTAAATAAAAGGACAAACTTTGTAAGATATTGGATTTTTTCATGTATGACTGCCTTTTAATCCAATGTACTTTTCCTCCCTGGCCCTGCAGCATCGCTGTGTTGCCATATTCAAGGATAAGCAGAACAAACCCACAGGCTTTGCACTGGGAAGCATTGAGGGCCGAGTGGCCATCCACTATATCAACCCTCCAAACCCGTGAGTGTCTCAAACAATCAATTAACTTACAGGTGGTTGAGTTTGTTTTGCGGTCTTTGGTCCAGTAAAGGTCAAGCGTGATGGATTAGTATTTTGCTTTTCCACATTTAAAAAGAAGCTGCTTTTCCTGTAAAAAATATGAATGTGCTCCCTCATTTCTTTCAGAGCCAAAGACAACTTCACCTTTAAGTGCCACAGGTCCAATGGAACCAACACAACCACTCCGCAGGACATCTATGCTGTAAGTTGTATTTGTTGTTTGGGATTTTATTAACATATTTTTATTGGGACAGACAAATTGTACCAGTGTGTGGATTTTATTGTCCAAGTTATTAATGTTATAACAGACCTTTTTCACGGCAGATATTCTGTTTGCCATAGTAGGAACAACCCTGGTGTAACTAATAACATAAAGAATGGATGCCTTTGGAACTACAACTAGAATGAATGTAGTTTATTACATTAGCACTTATATATTACAGATTCAGTCACTGCAATATAGTCACAGATACCCTAACCAGTCTAATTAAAATGTTGTCCCATGTCTTACCTACTAATTTCCATTTTTTCCCATCAGGTGAATGCTATCTCCTTCCATCCTGTCCATGGCACCCTGGCTACTGTGGGCTCAGACGGGCGCTTCAGCTTCTGGGACAAAGACGCCCGCACCAAGTTGAAGACCTCAGAGCAGCTCGACCAGCCCATCACAGCCTGCTGCTTCAACAACAATGGCAACATCTTTGCATATGCTTCCAGTTACGACTGGTCGAAGGTAAGTGTTCTCTACAGAAGTCCTGAGCTGCTGTTTGAATGTCACTGTTGGATGCACTTCATGCTGCTCTTCACTCTTATTTTGTAATATTGTCCTCTTATCTGAATTCATCAGGGCCATGAGTACTACAACCCCCAGAAAAAGAACTACATCTTCTTGAGGAATGCTGCAGAGGAGCTGAAGCCTCGGAACAAGAAATGGTGAGAGAAGGGCAGCCACTGTCTGTTAAGGTGGAGACCGCGGTCGCCGGACCAGGCTGACTCACAGTGAGGCCTTTTTAAAGGCACTCCATGATCCCTGGTGTGCATGGATGTGGGCAGTGACAATAGACATGATTCAGATCTCAGTACTGCCATGTAGTGCTACAGGTAGCCACTTAGTATATGAATGGTACTGTACTGACCCGAGTGCAGTCCCTTTGAAGGCTTGTGTGGTTTGTGCTGTAATAGTGTATAATAGCTACCTTTGCTGCCTGTGCAATCAGGAATTTTGGGACAAAGCCTGTTGGCTTCTTTACAGCATTTAGCTTTTAAGTAGTAAGGCTTTGCAGCGTATTCAATGGCATAAAAAGGACTGTTATTTATTAAATTATGAGATGATGGTGAAAAGGTTCAGGAAATATTGAACATAGGCCAGCAATAAGTTAGAATGAATCAACCATCATCTGCAAGGTCTGATTTTTGTCTGCTGAAGAGTGCTGTTGTACTATTTATTGTGTCCAAAAAGGAACACAGTGTAATCAGAAATAAACGAAACCAAAAAAATCAGAAAAATGTTCTTTGTGACTGACTGCTCCTTCCTGTCTCTAGATTCGTCGTGCCAAGTCGCATCTCCCGTGAGGAAATTGCGGAAGACCTGCTGCTTTAGTGTGTGTATATGCTCGAGACAGACGCCTTCCTTTCGGCAAACACCTGGACCAATGCCGTGGTGTGTACTGTACATGGACCAATCAAACGGGCCTACCCAACCTGGTGTTGATGACAGCTGCGTGGCAATTGGTCTCATAGAGGTCCTCATAGAAGGGGAAGGGATTTATTTGTCATTCATCTTGATGTTTCGATTTTTTTAATGTGTCCAGCTCCTCATTTTTTTTTTTACAGCTTTCCAAAGACTTTTCATTCTCTTATGACTTGCTGTTACTCCATGGTTCGGCTCCATTAATGAAACTGAGATGTAAAATAAATAAGTGCATACTATTAGATTTGAACATGTTTATTCCAAGCTGAGGGGGTAATTAGGTTAAAACATAACCTACTGTGTTGGCTGTATAGATGTGGGGGATTCACAGAACTGTATTGTGCATGCGAAACCATGACTTTGACCACTATCTCATATTTCCGCTGTAAATCTTTGGAATCCTTACAAAATCAAAATGATAAACTTTGGACAAGATCTGTATCACTACGACCCCCTCCTGTCTGCTTGTTTTAATGCAAGTTAACCAGCAGGTGGAGCATTTTGCCTTTCAGTGTGTCAACTCCAGCAGTTACCTGTAGATAAGTCCAGCTGCTGAGGTCAGGGTGCTAAACAGGACGAATGAGATCAAAGCAAGGCAGTGGGGTTCTTCATCCAGGTTAGGTCTTTTTGACAGGGACATACAGCTGGGAATGGGGGGAGGGGGTTGTTATCAAGAGGATATGAATGAGGTAGCATGGCCAACTACAAAGACCATGTGTGAAAAGTGAACCAGTTCATAGAGGAGAAGGTGTGAATTAAATGCCTTTTTATTGAGGTCATTAGAGTATCACCTCACTGTTAGCCTGACCCTCGATACTTAGCAGTGGAGCTCCAAGGCACCGGGGGCGGGAAAATAAGCTGCTGCTACAGTTCACCGGCTCCTCTCAGCTGTCAAGGGGTGACACTGGTTGCACTCCTCTAGGCCGCTGTAATGCTCAGTCAAGCTGCACCAAGTTTCGTTTAACTAAATGAGAGAGTGAGAGTCCTCCAGGTCAGCTGCACTCATGATCAGGAATAAGGTTAACTCACCAGGAGAATTTATGTTGACAGGCAAGCAGCTAGAAAACTTCTACTGCTGGATTGACCTGTTGCTCTGGACCCTTTAATCTGCCCTTTCCTGCACAGAGGTTATCAGTGCTTGTGAGTAGCACGTAGAGACATGTAGAAAGCATAACGATAATGAGTTCAAGTACACATTTAACACTTTTCAAAATGTGCCAATCATTTGCTTTTATGATAGGGTAATAAGAGGTGGCCTGTTTAGGCTGGCCCAATGAAGTTTGTCATTATGTACTTTAACCAGTCTATGTATGTCTGTCTGGAACTTTGATTCTCCAAAAAGGAGTTAGAAATACACAAGTGACTTAATATACAATAATTATAGTAGTTCTAATCGAATCTCACGTGGTATTTCGTACTGTTATACTATGCTAGACTGTAGAATATACAATGAGGAATAACACTGCCTGTAATGTGAGTTTCCTGTAGCTTTACTGAGTGATATAAAATGGTGTAAGTGAAGTTTACAACCCTAGCATGAACAGATTATAAAGTAAGGCCAAGGTTTATTGAGTTTAAGTGGTGTAGTTCCCACTGTCCCTTTGTTTCAGCTGCTCAGCAACCTATAACTATATGCCACAACACGTGTATATCTGCTTCCTGCTCAGCCTGTATGTGCCCTGTCACGATTACTAAGTGAAGTCAGAGTAAAATGAACACTTTAACTGCTGCATAAAGCTTGGAAAGGTGATTTAAGCCAGAAGCTGAGACAATTACTTCCTCATTTACAGTAATACAATGCACCATGTGGTAGAGGCGCGCTTTCTGCCTTACAGTACGGCTTTTTCTTTGTGTTGTAAAGGACAAAAGCAGGTGCAACGCAGCGCCGGCAAAGGCGGACCAATGGGCGGAGCCGCGGCCCCAAGTTGGCACCCAGCGGCCGCGCTGATTGGTCAACAGTTGTGTGTGGGCGTGGCCTCGTCCATGGCGTATAAAGTCTCCCGGCACATTTCCTCACAGCAGCGAGAAAGCAACCAGTGTGGACGCGACCGGAGGAGCCACGCTGCGTGAATCCTAGTTGTCATCAGGTTGCTTTACAACTTTGAGCGAAGGGCAACACGAGGGGGAACTACAGCATTTTATATATATATATATATCTATATATATATATATAGATATATATATAGAGAGA